GGAAAATTTTTGAATTTAGAGTCTCTGAAATGCTCTGGACTTTGGGGGAAGATTTGACAGAAATCTGATGGTCAGGAAACGGCATTATAACGTGTCGAAATTTGCAATTTGGTTAGAATTTATGAGTAGTACTTAAATTATGCAATGCTAACTACTTCCAGCGATTAATCTAATCCCAATTCTATTCTCTACTGATCTAGTGTTCTGAGTACTATTTACAACTTACAGCTCTTTTATACAATAACACACGGACCCCACGCATATGCATTTTAAGGTTTCCTTGCCTGGCTGCCAAAAGGGCGTGTTTCAGCATTATTTCATTACTTACATTACTCATGCTTCTTGCGCAAACAACTAAATTGCGTACACAACTTTACATCAGTTATCATAAACTTCAACTATCTAATTTGCGCCGCTCTCGTGATTCGTGAAGCATAATAAAGGGCATAATATAAGGGCATAATACCAGCAAAAAAGAGCATAATTCCCGTTATCGCTTCGATCGAAGCCAGACCAATATTCCGGTAATGAGAAATTGCCTGTGATCACTGTGAGGTAGCAAATACGGTTAGGCAAAATAGTCGGTAATTTAATACATGTCGCCTATGCGCTTAGTCTGTTTTATACTGTAGCCTATAAGCACGTCTTTTCTTGGCGGAAGTAACCATATTTTTTCGAGAATGCGTTTTTTCCCACCCTCTTTCAAAATTCGGCGCCCCATTTTCATTTTTTCGCCCCCCAGAATTGCCAGCTGGGTGGGGGGGGGGCGTGCCCCCCACCCCTACCAGCACGCAAAAACTGCCTTTATCGAAATACTTTGAGTTTGAAATAAAAATATTTCAAATTTGCGCATGAAGCAACATTTAATATAATAAAAAAGGGTAATCAATAAAGAAACACTGAAATTATATGCTGTCTTTTTCATTTAAAATATACACAACAGTCAGCTTTTAAAGCAATTATATTGCGAACAATACATCAGTATTTTTAAATATTTCATTTCTGTTTTAAAAAACAAACCTACCTTCATTAACGTCGGCGCCTTTACTTCCTTCTTTTATCAATTCTTTCGCCTTTATTTTTTTAAAAAGCTTTTGAAATTCACAAAATCTTGCAAAAATGAAATATATTTGCAAGAAATCATCAAATTAAGAAATATTTGCTATTTCGCTGTCGTCATGCAGTCGTTATAATCACAAATGCAAATTTTAAATTTGACCAATCACTGTTCGCTATTCATTACAGTCCGCAATATTTTTGAGATCAGTGAGGATGACCACCCACCCAACACTCCAACACCGTTGGTCACCCACACCCGCGATCATTGATGAACTTCAGACTCATCCTCGGTCCCAGAGCCTCACGGCTGATACTGCGTTGCCCATAGATATAGGAGATCTAGATTGCTAACGCATACCTAGCGCAGGCGGGGCCTACATGATAAATCCAAGATGGCGGTACAAGAGGGCAAAAAGACTATAGATTCGATTAAGAAAATCAGGATTTTTGCATTTTTTGCCGTCGCATTGTTTTGAAACTTATTCGGTCAAACTTTATGGTAAAGGGAAACTTACCGCGAAGATTTTGAGCATATATATGATTGAATTGGATGAAAAATCGCAAAATTATCCAGCGATAAAAGTTCGTGTGAAATGGTCAGTTGGTCAGTTGGAGCGTTTTATTGCCAGAAATACTGTGCTATGTTAACATCTAGCCTTGTGAATGGTGTTTTATACTTGCATCTCTCATCATCATCTGCTCTGTCCTCATAATTATGAAAAATGAACTGTTATGTACCCCCCCCCCCTTGCTTGTTAGAGAAGTAAACTGATGAGAGCACTGGATGAGGGTCTATCATCTATGGTCTGTTATAATTTGCTTTTTATGCAAATAGTGAGCAAAAATTAAAGCAAAACTGTACAAGTTACATATATTGTACTATATCAGTACTATACACGAACTTTTATCGATGGATAATTTTGCGAGTTTTCATCCAATTCAATCATATATATGCTCAAAATCTTCGCGGTAAGTTTCTCTTTACCATAAAATTTGACCGAATAAGTTTCAAAATAATGCGACGGCAAAAAAATGCAAAAATCCTGATTTTCGTAATAGAATCTATATAGTCTTTTTGCCCTCTTGTACCGCCATCTTGGATTTATCATGTAGGTATGCGTTAGCAATCTAGATCTCCTATATCTATGGCGTTGCCGAAGCCACTGGCGAAAAACAAAACCGGAACTTCAAAAATCTTGTAATTTGCCGGAAGTAAACGTGCTCGCGCCAATAAAATTGCTGACTCTGCTTATTTTTTTCGAGGAGTTTAAGAATTTCTTGAAAGTAATAGTGTTTCACATGAAAGATAAACATTAATTTGTTCTTTTAATTTCACTATTACATGTTTTAATGATTGACCAAATCAGTAAATTAAACGATCATGTAAATGTTTCAATTATCAAAGCTGTTCAAGTTGATGAATCGAAGGATACAATGTGTAGTTTGGGAGAGTTGACATTTTAATACGGACAGTAATCCCAGTAAAATAATATTTGCGCATGCGGAAGCTTTATTGGAGGAATATTTATTACAATCGAAGAAATGTACAGACAATTTAAAAGCGATTGTTATGGACGAAGCCCATCTTGTTACTGAATGGTGAGTGGGATATATTTTTTTGTTTCTCAATATTCTTTCCATCATTTATGGTTATTTGCAAGACTGTATATTACAGACAACATATATCTGTCTAAACGCTGCAGTATACCTGTGCCAAGTCTAGAAAAGTTTGTTCAACTCTTTAAGTGCTACTAAACAAATTATTGTACTCAGCTTAATTATTAACGTGCCAGATGTACTTGTCAAGGCGAGAGCAGGGGCGGATCTAGGGGTTAATCAGACTACCTAATTTACTATACTATCTTACTCTGTCTAATGCCAGACGATTTTGCTGATCAAGGTGAGAGTGCTGGCACTCGATGGGTTAAGACCGTTAAGCCTGTTTTCCACTAGGCGGAATTTTGCGCCCGGAGCGGAATTTTTCTTTGTCTTTTCTAATTAGTTCCACCCGAGAAATCACAAGACAAAGAAAAATTCCGCTCCGCGCGCAAAATTCCGCCTAGTGGAAAACAGGCTTTAAGTGCGACATCAGTCGAATACTGGTCTCATATTTAATGTGTGTCAATTAATAATTAGTATAATTGCAAATTAATTACCTTGGACAAATGTATAATTTACATATGTTCACTAGAAAACTTACATACATAAATTTAAATCAAAATGTCAAACTTTATTATTTCAAGTCAAACCATGTATTCAAATTCACATTAGATTTGGAACATGTAAAATGTGGCATTTAGACCGAGACAATGAGCATAAAAATTCAAAATGAGCATAAAAATCCAAAATATTATGTTCCTCCCCCCCAACCTTAATCTTAGTACCCCCCAGATAACAATAGTTTTTCGGATATACAACTACCTGCAAGCTAGGCATTATCAGTATTATATGTGACTTCATACTGTAAAATGGCGCCCAGGGTCTGGCAAACATTTTTATGACTGCACAGTATGGCAGTTATTACGTAGTATGTACTATATAGGTTAATACCTTTAAGTAATATATATATATAATATATAATGGGGACTGATTGCGCAAAGCAGTTCGAAGCAGTCCGAGCCAGTTCCGCGTTTCAACGTGGTGTGAATAGGTGATATATTCGGTCAATATCATTAAAAATGACTGTAGAGAAAGGCGAACATGGGTCGAACGGCATGCGGAACGGCCCCGGACAAACTATCCCATTGGTTCCACAAAATTACATTAAGGAGATAAGTGGATGGTATTGGAGAGATGTTGTGATTTTTAATGAAACATTGAATAATGATGTGATTGTGTATTGGGGCTGTAGCAAACTTCACAGAGTCTCGGGTTGACCATGCTTGTGAAGTATGTTAGCTGATGTTGACACAAGGAACGCCTCCTCGGAATGACCGTAACCAACCCAATACAAATAACCTAGACGAACCAAACAACAACTCTGACTACAAAACTGACACAGACACCGACAATAAAGAAACACCATCTTCGACATACAGGCTGCTATCAACTATCCCGACGCATCTACACACTACTTTTCAAACTTTAAACAACCTTAAGGAAAAACAAATTAAGACGAAAGCAATACCGGGAAAACCTCACGACCCACAAAACAGACGGAACGCTACCCAACAACCTAAACAAAACAACGGAGGGCCAAAGAAATGAAAGAGTACAATTAACACAACTATATATACTGTATCTTCCATATGATATACCATCCGCTAACATACTTCACAAGCATGGTCAACCCGAGACTCTGTGAAGTTTTCTCTAGCCCCAATACACAATCACATCATTATTCAATGTTTCATTAAAAATCACAACATCTCTCCAATACCATCCACTTATCTCCTTAATGTAATTTTGTGGAACCAATGGGATAGTTTGTCCGGGGCCGTTCCGCATGCCGTTCGACCCATGTTCGCCTTTCTCTACAGTCATTTTAATGATATTGACCGAATATATCACCTATTCACACCACGTTGAAACGCGGAACTGGCTCGGACTGCTTCGAACTGCTTTGGGCAATCAGTCCCTATTATATATTATATATATTACTTAAAGGTATTAACCTATATAGTACATACTACGTAATGACTGCCATACTGTGCAGTCATAAAAATGTTTGCCAGACCCTGGGCGCCATTTTACAAAACATCTGGGATGATTAGTCTAAGACACCAATTTTAAATAAAGTTTACCCTTGTGGCATAATTAAATGTTCTGCCAGATTCTACAAACCGTATTTTTGTAGATTGTACAACAACTACTTATTCTACCTATCAATAGTTAGATACATGACACAAACCATAGGACTCATGACATGCATATCTCACGCCATGGTTTGCTTTCAAGACCCTGTGAGTATGTACATAATCTAACTGCATCCATACTTAAATACTAAGGAATAAACTTACAATCCTCACATAGACTTAACCACATGTGATGGACAGATTACGGAATACACAGTGAAACAAAGACTAAGCTTACAAAATCTCACTGCATGGTCTACTTTCCAGACCCTGTGAAGATATATTTAAGAAAACCATTTACTCAAATGAGATACAGGAAAATTACACAACGAAAAATCACAAGTCTTGTTACCAATTCCTAATTTACAACATCGCAGTATGGTCAAATCCGACCCGGTGATAAATTCATGGGCATCATCAAATTACATCTATCAATTACCGAGTAATAACTTTACATACAGCACATGCTAACTTCAATTACGATATTTCTACAATGGAATGACATAAAGAGACACAAAACAACGCGTGCACCTTTTATACAATATTTCACGGCATGGTCTACTTTCAAGACCCCGTTGAAAATAACAGTAATCCATTAGATAAATAATGATTATAAGTACACCACAGGTCCAAGACGCATGTAGAGGTCATATTACCTATCCCAAAATTAAAATAA